TATTTTCAAGATATAGGAAAAAAAAAGCCTCTTGAAAAAGGAGGACGAGCAGCAAATAGTTTTATTGGAAATATGTTGATTTAATTGTCTCATGGTGAGAGGGATGCTAGCCTGTCATGTGAATTTTAAAAAACAAACAAGAACTACATAAAGTTAAGTGTGTATATGTTATTTGGATTTTTAATTATGCAAGACAACATGGTTAAAAAGGTGTACCCACACAGGGAACAATTACATGTCTACACAGGATTGGAATATGACTGCCCACACAGGATAGACATCTGCATCCACACATGTAACAAATGCATGTCCACACAGGACTGAATGATACCTTTTACTCACTTGTCCAGTTCAACATGGGTGTAATGCAACAGCTAGACTGTCCAGGTGACAACCTGGTACCCTGATAACCAGTATGTCCAGTTCAACATGGTGTAATGCAACAGCTAGACTGTCCAGGTGACAACCTGGTACTGTGATAACCAAGCTACCTAGGAATAAGCTATTTAGTTTTACAAGATGCAGAAACATTCATAACAATCCCTACTTCAATTCATAACATTAATATAATTACCATATATGTTGGGACACAATAAATTATTTATTTAAGTACTTTTTGGTACACTGCAGGTTTGGGGACATATTTTTTTTTTCAAGTTGAAAGTTGTGGGACACCTTTTGAATCCTTCAATAATTTAAATTATGTCAGAAAATGCACTAAAACTTAAATGTTATTTAAAAAGTATTAAAGTGTGTATTTGATAAAATACTTTAATCCACTGCAGCATCTTCTCATCAGTGCAACCATTCTGCACATGTACAATCTATACATTTGGTACATGAATATTGTTTTAGCTTCCTCATGTCATGAAAATTTATTAGCGACAATGCATCTCCTGAAGCAGAAACTACAAGAACCAAAGTAAGATTTATTTATCTGCACCAGTTGTCCATATTCTCGCACTTTTAACCATCTTTTTGTGAGCCTGGAGATTTGGCAGCCATGTTTTTGTTATTGACAGTCTGTTCATGAACGAGAACAAAGTACACTGGAGTTTCTTCATGTTAATGATCATATTGTCAGCAAAATAATCTTCTTAGGTCAGTTACTTTGTAATAACCTTCGCATTTGATTTCCTGTCAATTTAAACTATAAGTTTATGGCTTCTCTACCAGTTGTTTATTCACCGCCAGATCTATTTGCAAAGCAATAACTTGGTAACCCTTACTAACAAAACGATTGTCATTTGCACTTGCAGTGAACCATGCAGTTATCCAGGATATAATACAGTCCTGATTATTTTGCACCTTATGCCATGTTATGCATGATTTGCAGGTGTCTCGAACAGTCAGTTGATATTTCTCTCTTTCTCTTGTTTCCAGTTTTGTTGGATCCAGTTTTCTGTCTGATAACATATCAAACCTTTGAATACAAGTAAACGTGATTTGTTTCTCTTTATTCTTGTTAATGAAAAATGTGTGTTATCTGACATAAGTGATACACTCCAGTATGGAAGTATATATGATATACCGAGTTAATGGATATATTTGTTTCTTTAATAAATATACTCATAAAGAACAAAGAGGAAAGTATAATGTCAATATTAGGTTAGTGTCTTTTATTTTGTAATCAAATAAGCATTTCATTTATGTTGCTACATCATGCAGTGTGTTGAGGTATAATTCAACAACTAAGTGAAAAGAAGCTTCATGTTCTAGGATTGGATTTTTAAAAAAAAACAATTTGTATTCGAATATATGAAAGATTTTGAATTTGTGATAATATATTAAAATAGAAAGCAATACACATACAATAAATGTAAAGGTGTTCTCACAGTTAGCTATTTCTTCATACAAAACTGGTAAATGTCTACTGCTTCATCCACAGGAATTATTTTGCAAGAATGCCTAATTGTCCATGTCAGCTCTTGTATATAAAGCTTATGCTAATCCTCATTCATGATAAGTTTTATTTATCCTTAAATGACCAGCCAGAGGAGTTTTATGGGCCAAGCTAAGTATTTCCTGTCTGTAAGAAAAACAATCTGATAGTTAACTGACCACTCGTCATTAGCAGGTACCTCAGGAGGTCTCCATTTTCTCATAAGAATTACATTTTTAATGAAATAACATACAGGTACTTCAGTGGCTTCAGTTTCACTAACGGCCCTCTGAAACAAACAGGAGATCTCAGTATCTTTTTCGTGTTCAATGACAAGTGATTGTCGTTTATCATTCAGATTAGATAAAAGATGTTTAAAAAAGAGTATCATTGTGATAATACTTTTGATTGATCCAAATCAGGAGTGAAAGTGACCTCATGAAAAGCCTGACCAATACATGTGTCAGCTAAAAGAATATTTTCCTTATCAAAATCATTCTCAAAAGCTTTACCATTAGCTCTGGTAACTGCACAAGCTGGGTATAAACCAAGGTATACTTTTTCAATAGGATCAACTTTCTGATCCAAAGAAGGCTTGTCAGTTACAAGTGGATTAACCACAACCTTGTCTCCAGCTAGGTTGTTCCCTATTAACAAATGAATGCACTATGCAGATAAAGTATACACTATAACGACTGTCACAGGTCCTGAAACTAAGTCTAATGAGAAATTTACAAAAGGGAGAGGAACTTCAACAAAGCCGCACTTGAATTCCTGAATGAGAACACTCTCATTAGAACAGAACTTCAGAGACAAAGGCAAAGTACCTGATAATAAAAGACTGAGAAGCTCCTGTATCCCTTAAAATTTTAATAGGGATAGGATTTGCCATTTCACCCAAAAGTGATATAGAACCCTTCAGCATTAATGGTTTGTAATTCTCCATAATAAAATCGAGACAAGTTTTTGAAATCCAATAAATGTATTGCTTTTAATACATTACCATGACTTGACCTCTTAGAAATAAGAGCATTTGGGATAGGTCTATCTTCAGTTTGAAGCAACCAGAAATGACGTGTCCTTTTTTTTTTCTTGCAATAGGTACACATATGAATAGACAAGGATTTAGAATAAAGTTTATCAGAAGATTGATTTTTAAAAGTTGTAGCAGATTGAGTTTTAGGAGGAGTCGTATTAGGCTGAAATACCTTTCAACAAGCAGACTGCTGAATGAATGATTTGCCTACAACAGGAAATTTATGAGTTAAGGAAAACTCATAAGCAGCAAGAGCATCATTTTCCAAGGTTTCAAATCTTATGCTCTTCAAGATGATTTGTAATGTTATTAGGAAGTTTTTGAACACTTCAAGTAACACAAGTTGTTTAAGACTTTCATAATCATATTCAACTTTCTTGGCTAACCAGCATCTCAATAAAAAAATGCTCTTTTTCTTTGGCAAATCGACATACGTTTGTCCAGCTTCCTTTTTATAATTTCTGAATTTTTACTGATAAGCCTCAGGAACTAATGCATAACCCATTAAGATGCATTCCTTAATCAACTGTTTCTTTTCTTTTTTTTTTTTGCAATGAAACTAAAAAAAATAAATGATGACCAAGCAAATTTGCATTCTTCTTCCATATTAATAATCAAATATTATAAACTTTGACCTTCATGAACCACATCTGCTCCATCCCTTTTCAAACTAAAATTTGTTGGTGGCATCTCGGGGAATAATTCTAGAAAGTTTCATGTTCCTGTTTTTCAGCATAACATTGGTTGCTATGTTGACAAAATGTAATGTGCGTTTTTAACATGGTTCACTTTTTGTCATAAGTGGGTGGGAGCTGGGCAGTGTGTGAGACTGACACTAATAGATATTGTTCTGTGGAGGGAAATACAGAAGAATTTTTCAAAAGGACTTTTGATGCTTTTGTATTAAATATTTCAGCCATACAATGAAACGTGAATCATGCAATAATACCTATGTGCTCACCAGTTATTGGGTACTTTTGAGAGAGTTACGTATACAAGGTGAAGTTGTTTGCATTCAAAACATGCACAGTGGAGAGAATTTGACATACCTCTATGCTACTTTGATGTAATGTGGTTGACATTTGTTTGGATCTTGTACCTATGGAAGTTGGACTTTATTTAAGCACATTGCTAACTAAAATTGCTACTCACTTGTGCTAATAAAATCATCCTGAATTGGTCTAAAGTACACTATCTTTAGCACCTTTTAAAATAGAAAAAATGAATTTGGCACAATTAGACAATACCGGCTTCTTAAAGTGCAGTGTGTGATTTGCTACATATATAAAATATAAAAGAAGTTTTTGGCTTTTTTTCACAATTTACCTCTGAAGTCGAGGACTGAAAATGATCAAATGGAGCTAGCAGTTTTTGAAAGATGCACATCTGGAGTAAGGCCAAGCTGTAAACTCCATAACTGATATTCCACATTATCAATCATAAGCCAAAATAAAGGGAACTAAGTGTTCTTTGAACGATGCCTAAGATGTACAAGTGCTTTTTTTAAATATCCAGTATAACCAGCGAGAACACCCAGGGAAATTTTTTTTCCTTTAAAATTCTAAGCCTATGCAAAATGCGAAACTGTAGAGTGCCACCTTAATTGCTTTACAGTCACCTCTAACTCGACAGTCCGTTACTTGTACTTTAATTGCATTTCCTCTTACCAAACAGTCACTTAATTGTGTTTTAATTGCTTTACAATACCCAACAAAGAAAATGGCAATTATTAACATTCATTTCTTGCCTAGTCACCATTATTGTTTCAGGTCAACGAATATTGACTATTGTGTTGCAGAGTTTGAGTCATTGATTTAGGTATATCTCTGCAAATTTATATGTGTGTGGTTTTGATTTTTAAAGTAGCTTTAACAATGTTTTAGTCATAGCTCTATGTCTGCAGTGTGAGTGTGCCAGTTTATAGCGATGTCTAGCACTTGGGCATCGTGCCGCAGACATGTAGCATGATGTCCCACCCAATCACATTATCCTGACACCAGGCCGACCAGTCCTAACACTAAACTCTTAATGCTGAGTGCCAAGCGAGTCAGCTGTTACTACCATTATTATAAGTCTTTTGTATGACTCAGATGGGATCGAATCCAAGCCCTCCTGCATCTGAGGCAGATGCTCTAACCACTAGGCCACCTGAGCGTTCAAAAATGTTTATGTGTACTGTGTACTGTTGCAATAAATAAAAAGAAACACTAGTAGCATCTTGCCGAAAGTAACTGTACTGACCCTAAGAGCTCAGCGTGGAAGAAGGACCAACACTGAATTGACATCTGATTAAGTACATATGACAATCCCATGATGTGTGTGACAGGATTCAGAGTACTAGTTGCATTTTGTTCTGCTGCTATTCAGCTTATCTAAATACTGTACATAACCATCTAAGACATGTTCACTACTGTACATACACATCTAAGACTTGTTCACTACTGTACATACCCATCTAAGACTTGTTCAATACTGTACATACACATCTAAGACTTGTTCACATCTCAGTTCTGTATAGTCTGTGTTAGTAATTGTGGAAACTTATAAAACTCTGATAACCAAAAAGCAGATTCAATAAAGTTTAGAAATGTTTATTGAAACAAGTAACATATATATTTTTTGTATAAATAACCATTATTAGAGGAAGTCTGCGTATATATTAAATTAGTAGATTTATCAATAGTTGAACACATTTATTCATGAAAAACCACTTTATTTCCATTAAATTTCAAACATAGTCTGTATCAAACGTATTTACATCTACATTCCAAATATAGTGTACATCAGAAAGTGATATTCCAAAGACATGAATCACAGGAAAGAATGCAGCTTGTAAAAGCCATACAATAAAATGTTGGACCTAGTGTTCGGTTAAGGGTAGGTACAGTTTTTCAAAAAGTATCCTAAACATTGCTAAAATACATAAAAAGTAAACTTCAAAAGCATTCCTTTTGAATTTAACATTTGATATTCTATTCATTTTTATTTCTTAAAAACTAATACCATGTAAAAGAAAACTATTGCAAGGGCTCCTTTTTATATTGGACAGAATCTACAAAACATTTATTATTTACAATAAACTTATCCTGGACAAGTAGCTATGGATAAAATTTCTCTTTATTTTGTCAGTGTCAAAATATTTTTCTCATGTCACAACAGAGTCTGTTATCTCTTTCTTTTGCCTTACATTCTAATAAATATCTTCTTACATTCTAACTTTTTGTTGGATATTTTTTAACAATGGAAATTTGTAAATGTCCAGCCATGAAAATGAAACTTCCATCTGGCCTTGTGGTTAGAGTTTTTGCATCTGTCCCGGTACATTATGGGTTCGTTGATATTAACAGTTGCCTCACTTGGCATTCAGCATTAAAATGTTCTTGTTAAGACTGATTAAAATTCCCAAAACACACACACACACACACAACTTTCTTCAATTAAAAATTAATGAAACCCATTTTATAAATGAAGTGGTCTAGAAATCTTGGTTCTGTATCTTCATCAGTCATGTAACTTCTGTGTTCATCAACACTTGCATGTCAGCAATAGAGATGCTCCATTTCTGAGTTATCAAATTTTGTATGCAAGTGGATGTCATCAAGATTTAGGATTACATTAGTTACAAGGTTGCATCGTCTGCCAACAAATCTGTATATGTGGATTCATTATTTAATGGAAGATCATTGATATAGATAAGAAAGAGGAGAGGGCCTAAAAATGATCTTTGAGGGACCCCTGAATGAATAGTGCAAGATTGAGAGCTAATATTGCCAACATTTACATGTTGATACCTTTGGTTTAAGTATGATGTAAACCAGTTTAAAGAAGACTTGTCGAACCTGAAACATTTCAACATTTGCAGCAGAATTTCATGATCAACAAGATCAAAGGCTTTCTTAAAGTCAAGGAAAAAATTCCATGTCATAAGTCCATTATCCATTTCCTTCAAACAAAGATCAATTAATTTGGTACTTTCTGTTTGGCAAGAGTGGTACTTTCTAAATCCTTATTGAAACAGAGAGTAAGTTTTAAAAAAAAAAAAAAGTAATAGAGCTAAATGTCTACTTGTTTTTCAAATGACTTTGACAATACATGTAAAATTGATATATTTGTCTGTAATTCCATGGATCCTCCTTTTCTCCTTTTTAAAGATAGGTGTAACCTTTGCACATTTCGATGTTTCTGTTAAATAACCAATTATTATACTTAAGTTTATGATATGCGTTAATGCCTTTATAATTACTGGTGTAGCAATTTTAAGAATTCGTGTACCAATACCATTCAAACCATATGATTGATTAATATTCACCTTAATGAGCATATCAAAAAACATCAGCTTCACTAATATTAGCTACTGAAAAATAATTATCATTAGGAATTTTAGCTCCTATAAACAATATAAGAGCACTAAGTTCAACTGATATGTAAGTCTGGTTCTGAATACTGTTATTGGAGATGCTTGTAAAGAAATTGTTGAACATTACCAAAATGTCTTGTACAGGCGTTGCTATATCATCATTTTCCTTAAGTCTGTTGGGAAAACAACTGTTCTTCTGTCGGTTCAGCTCTTATAGATGCTTCCACAATATCTTGGTACTCTTACTTTCATCAATTACATGTGTATAATAGTTCTCCTTTGCCATACATATCAGGTGCTTAGCTTTATTCTTCCACTATCTATAGTTTTTCATGTCTTTTCACTTGTGGAAATTATCTCTTAGGTGTCTAGCCTCATTAATCTCAGGGGTAATCCAAATTGGGTATAATTTTGGCATGCTTTTCTAAGTCTGCATTGAACATCATTATTATTATTTAATAAGGCAGACAATTATTTCTATCCTCTATAAATCCAGAGACAATCGCATGTCACAGGTGAAAATCCGCCACGATCTTTTTTTTTTCCCTCAAAGATTTTCGCCAGTATCTTCCTACGATGGTCCAGAGAGAGAGAGAGAGAGAGAGAGAGAGAGAGAGAGAGAGAGAGAGAGAGAGAGAGAGAGAGAGAGAGAGAGAGAGAGAGAGAGAGAGAGATGTATTTATTGCGCATTCCCAGTAGAGAGAGAGAGAGAGAGAGAGAGAGAGAGAGAGAGAGAGAGAGAGAGAGAGAGAGAGAGAGAGAGAGAGAGAGAGAGAGAGAGAGATGTATTTATTGCGCATTCCCAGTATCTTTGTTGGTCGATTAGTCTGCAGCCTTACCAACCAGCGAGAGAAAAAGTCGGGTGGAGTAGCGGTCTTCGGACATTTTTATATTAAATAATCTGTTTTAGAAGCTTATTAATAGATTTATAAAATAGGAAAGAATCAAGAAAACGAAAGAATTAAAGCATTAAATAGTTTACAGTGGGCGTGTTCCTCCCAACCAAAAAGTGTACTGCTTATTTTCGACAGGCTATTGTAACTTTGTATCACTGGTATCGGAACACTATTAAAACCCCATGGAACGTGTACACATAACCGTTATGAAGTTACAGGTTTTTGTACGTTAGTTAGTGTAGTTCAGTTTTCTTCTGTTTCACTCCACAGAGATTTACCCATAGTTTGTAAATGTGTGTGTGTGTGTGTGTGTGTGTGTGTGTGTGTGTGTGTGTGTGTGTGTGTGTGTGTGAGAGAGAGAGAGAGAGAGAGAGAGAGAGAGAGAGAGAGGGAGAGAGAGGGAGATTTCGATGAAATTGTGTATTGTTTTTTTTTCATTTAGAAAGTATGTTGATTTCTTAATATTTTTCTCTTATTATTTACTTCGTCACTAATGACTCTTCAGTGGAAATTCATCACTGATGAAGAGACTTCCGAGTCAGGGTGGGATTATGTTCTTTACAGTTCTGGACCTCAAATTACTAACTGAAGGACGGAATTCTTACTTGGGTAATATCGGTTATTCAATAATTTAAAAAATACTTTTAACCCCTAAAACTATTGATTTCAAATTTATTCAAAATCGGATCAGAAATACGACTTCCATAGTGGTAACAAATTCAGCCAGTCAGATGCAAAAGATCACCTCCGCTCATTATCGACACCATCTGAGATCTTACTAATGTAAGGATATATTCCAGCTAATTAAATTCGGACCAACAATATGACCTTCAGAATTACAACGAGAATAAGGAATCATATGCAATTTATTGACTCATTAATTTGCATCCATAAAAATAGCAGGTGTGAGACCCAGAAAAAGAATAATTCATGACAACAAAGTGTATATATATATATCTATATATATATATATATATATATATATATATATATATATATATATATATATATATATATATATATATATATATATATATAACCTCTTTATTTAGCCATCAATAACAGTCCGTATACTAGCTTTTACAAACAGTTCTTCATAGCCTATTTTAAGATTATTTTCACATGAAAAAAATGCATGTTAGTGTGCTCTAAATATACGGCTTCACTAATGTGTGTAAGTCCTGCGTATCAAGAGATAAAAGGTGATGTAGAGTATATAACCTGTTTGCACGTACAAGCTTATGATAATGAACTAATTTATTTATAAAGATCACATGGTAATTAATATTCTTGCATAATTCTATTAATTCAAACTCAGGATTCCATTTTTCGTGGTTATCATGTAGATTTTATATGAACTGACTGCCAAACATCTAAGCTAAATTTAATGTTTTCTCAACCGCTGGACATGTTTTCAATATGTGAAGATACAGATTTGTAGCATTCCACGTGTAGATTTTTCCGATGTAAAATCATGTTACAATTATAAATGATTATACAGGCTTGCATGTCAATTTCTGACAACTGGGTGAATATTATAAGATTAAATACTGAGTACTAGCTTAATCAGTGAATACTCCAATAATCATAATTTGGAAATTTTATGTGTCAGCATCTGATCCAAGATCCCATCTTACCAATGGGTAAGCTTAATGGTATGATCAGGCCGTGGCTGTCTGGAGAGAGCGGACGTAGTCTATCCTGGGTTGCATATCATCGGCAGGTCGGTTGTACGGAGTCCACACAGGCTCACCCACAAACAGTCGCAAAGCATGTATGTAATCCTGAAATTACGTATAAGGATGATAATCTATAATTTTCATGCACATTTAGCAGCTTGTGGGTAAAAATATGACACATGTAGAATAAACGAAAAGTGCGCATTACAATATCTCGTCTGC